TATTACTGCATTCTTAATGTTACTGGGTACATTACCTTATCAAACAATGTTCTTGCGCAATATTCATTGACGTGTAAAAGCAAGATGAAGCAAACGTCAATGATTATTTTCCTTTTCGTATTAAAGGTTTTCATGTAACTATGATCATTTCCAATAAATTTTTCGTGTATGGTTCCGTTGTCAATTATTCTTTCCTGTTAAATGAATGCTTTAAAAAGACTAAAGCATAACGATATCAGACCACATTGTGACTGTACTAAAAGTGCAATTCTTTTCATTGTTGAAAATAAAATTTCATTTGAGATTAAATACTAAAATGCTGAAAGATTAAGTTATCATGTGCATTGCAGTTGCAGTTCGGTGTTTCGAGTTATCAATAACGTTTTGTATAGACGAAAGTTTTATTGTTACAATTATTAATTATCGATATATGCACAAAGCCATAATATTTGTCATTACCAGCAAACAAATCGGAGTTTTGACATTTTATTATTCCTTTTAAAATGAAATTTAAAAACATCGATACGTCATTTAACTGACAGGATTGTACAATGTCTCAATTTTTAATAGCCTATTTCAGTAATTGATAACTTGCTGTGATCCCTTTCAGGTGATCAAAGTATGGAAACAGACCTAATGTCAAATATTATCATTTACAAATACGTAAGCTATTAAATTACATGTATATCAATATCAAAAACTGCAACCACGTGAAGAAAGACAGCCCTGATTTACCTTTTTTCTTCTTTCTTTTTTTATTTTGCCATTTGATAAAGGATTTTCCTTGGAGTTCTGTATTTTTATTATTTTACCTTTTACTTTTATGATTAGAAATGATTCATTTAGAGTTGCACTAAATGACAATGGTTAAAGGATTTTCTAATTCGACTTTGATGTATTACAATGGCACTAAAATAAACATAGATAACAACGTAGACTGCTGGAAATTCTGGCAAAACTACAGGGAAATATTGAAAATAAAACTCTTAAAAGGCTTATAAGTAAAAAGAGCAACAACTGCTAGGAGAAATATTTGAAAAGCAAGCGGTCAAGTTATGTGCATGGACTCAATCAATATCTTGTTAAGCTTCAATCGATTTTTTAAACACGCTGTAACAAAATATAATGGACATAGGAAACTGATTTTGTAAGGACCATCACACTTCTGCTTTATTGAACATAGTTTACACTGAATACACCTCAACTGATCCAAGTCGAGTGGAGACATTTGCATCAATGTGTATTACTACATGTAAAACAAACTAAATGTATGTGTTATATGTAGCAAGTGAATTTATGTACGTTAGCCTAAAACATACGCCTATTATATTAATAGAATGATAGTGGTAGGGATTTAAGAAGGGTAAACACGTGTTGGGGGTAACTCTTATCAAATGACATGAGTAAACAATATTAAATCCGCTATACATTGCATAGTGTGCCGAATTACAATAAAAATATGTCCAAGGTTGACTTCACAATTTAAATTCTCATATTCTATACATATGAAAATTATGAATAAACTAACCCATTTTACCTGAAGTGTCCTTTTATTCTACTTACTCCGGAAGTTAAAAGTAATATGATGTTAAGATGTCAGAAGAGCACTTAATGGAAGTTTGACCTGTATTGTACAAGTATTCTTTAAACAAGGTATGTGACACGACAAACCATTGCTGGACATTATGTTTAACTATTTACTGAACGCCTAACATTACTATTTCGGACATTTAACTTGTTTGCTGACTGTTGTGTATTGCATGTTTTACATGTCTAGATCATTTTAGAATGACAAAAAGGACGAAAATAATGTTCACAAAGCTGCTTTAAAGGTAGGATTCCGTATGCTATGGTCTCTTCAAAATGATTGTGTTTATACTTTCTTTCTCTTTCCGTGATAGATATGAATCTTTCTTTGTTAATTAGTTTTCTAAAACGCTTTTATTTTTTAACACAAAGAAAAATGAGTCATAATGTATAACTTTAAAATTCAAGATTTTCTTTCAATTCACTTTCTAAGTATCTTTTAATCAATTCTATATCTTAATTTGTGTAGAAGATCCTCTTGCAAGATTTTGGTGTCCAATTAAGCATGTGCCTGCATGGTTAAGACTTCTCTGTTGTTTTGTTTCCTTTTGTTTTTAATTAAGTTTATTACAATGAGAAAAGGAGATATATAGTGGGAACTAAATGTATGCAGGTTAACGCTTATCAAAATTATGTATCATACTTCTATAATTACTGGCATGATTTAAACAATACATTTTTGCTCTTAGTCATCTTTTTGTAAATTAGTCAATTGGACTTAAACCAAGGTTGCAATTCCTTGCAAGGCAATGCTAACTTTAGACGATTTTGTTTATCACGTTTTATGATCTTTAAGTTTTGAACTCTCCCTACGTTTCAAGTACTTGGCTTCTCTATCTTTTGGTCGCGAGCGTGTCTGATAAAGGCTGTGCCAAAAGCTCGTGTCGATGGGCATTGCAATAGATTTCTCATGTTTAATTAGTACGACTTTTTCAAAGTTTTTGGGCAAAGGAGGGGTGTTGTGGTCCATATATCTATTGGAATGGGGTCTGTTATCATTGTTTCAAAAAAAGGTCTCCCGAACGGCGAGTGTTCAGTTTATAATAGCAAACAAGCAAGCAAACATTATATTAGTCGAATACCATGACTAGTTCTTTTTTAAGTTGTCAAAAGTATGAATTGATAAACAGAGCAGTTACGACCATTTAAGGAAAACGCACATCTAATAAGCCCAATCAAAGGAACAAGCAGGTGGGCTGGTATACAAGTTTTTATGTGCGTGATTACAATCCTTGTTCTGTAAATTAGTGGTTTTAATACCAAAATTACATGTTTACAACTATAGGTGGTAATCACGCGATCTAATATCATTCTTGTTTTCAATACTCAACAAAGTTTCCAGCAATCCATATCCCAATTGTAGAAAGTAAAAGGAAAGTGAATGTATTTAGCAGCAAAGAGGTATAATTTGGGGATTAAGACCTCTGTGATTTATTGCGTTGAACTTTCCTTGGTGTTCTCTTTCGTGAAGCAAACGGCTATCTTTTAAGACTGTGTGTTCATTGTTTGGATCAAGATATGGCGTTTCGTCTCTATTGTGAATAACAGTGGTGTGTTGACAGATTACCCAACAAAGTGATATAAATGACATTACTACTCATGGCTGTAATTTTGGCAAAATAAATTATACTTTTTGTATTTGAAAATTATCAAGCACATTTAAAATATACAGGAAATGATACAAAGAAGTGGGATGATTACGAAATTAAATTTGTAACTGGTGTTTTATGGCCATAGAAATGTAAATCACTATGGTCCAAATAATGTATAACTATTTGTAAACGTTGCATTTTTTTTTCAAGTACAGGTGATATATATTTTTTTTTAATTATGTTAATCATTGAATTACTGTGACAATATAGATTTTGTCTTGTTAAAAACTAAAACACATAGATTTGCACAAACTGAGGATGAAGATTTATAATTTCTCCAAAAGACAGACAAACTTTCAATTATCCATATCTGAAGTCCAGAGGTACAATATTATATATACTTGTATAAATAATGTTCAGACATGGTTTGGCTATTTTAGTATTCCTTTAGGATGGTATGAACACAGGCACTTGTCTCTGGAAAAAAAATCCTATATACCTTAATATAACACGTGTTATATTAAGGTGTATAGGATTTTTTTTAGAGACAAGTGCCTGTGGGTATGAACGTTCAATATTGAAGGCCGCACGGTGACCTATAGTTGTTAACTTCTATGTCATTTGGTCTCTGGTGGAGAGTTGTCTCATTGGCAATTATACCACATCTTATTTTTATACAGAAAAAAATGAATATACTGTATGGAAAGAAAAAGATACAAACCGTTTACGAATTATCAGAGACATATAATACAATTGTATTATAATTGTATTATATGTCTCTGGAATTATATAGTAAAAAATACATTGTTTACGTATATATCATATTCATTATCTGTTATGTTTACTCTTTATTAAAACGGATGAGACCACACAAAGCACAATCCATTGAAATTTCAAAACAGGCTATCGTGTTTTCAGAGATCCTGATGAATAAAATGCAACTTTGTTAAGGTGATTTGATACCATTAAATAAAATTTTTATTACCGACCATAGTCGTAACCTTAGATCTATTGATGTCCCATAATACAAATTCCATTTGAATTAAACAAAAAGGACTATTGAATAAATGAACGTCGACAATTTCATACAATGCTTTCTTAAATTTCAATTCTGGGGTTGTTGAAACAGGTTTTAATTAGAGTAATATAAATATTTAATAATAAAGTGTAAATTAAACACCGATGAAAAAAATCAAGAATTTCCCACCTGGCGGAAGGGAAATGTGCTCAAATATTGATAAGAAACAATTAAAGAGTAAATATTTTTTTCTTTTCTTCTTTTATATCGATATTTATCACCCGATTTATCATTGTATTCCATTCATTCAGATCTTTGTTATGGTTATTGTTTGCCTCGCACCTGCTGATATTAAAGATCATAAACGCAGATAATTGCATTGTATATTTTACAAATGTGAATTACATCTCTCGTGTATCATACTGCTATGAATAACTCTTGAAATGGGACAGTGTTTCGATTTGGATTCAATAAATCCTAGAAACTATGAGGTTTTAATACCGTTACAGGATGCACTTTTTTCACATTCAAAATATGCTGATAGATTTGGCAATGAGCTACATGTATCCACTTATGCATTTGTATACTTTTTTCAGTATTCATCAATTTAGCATCATGTCTCTTCTTTGACGTTCTACTTCTTTTTTGTCCAAAAATATTTTTTAAGCAACACTGTTTCACACATTGTATATTTTTCATAATACAAAAATATTCTTACAAGAAGTGTTAGATCGTACAACTATAAGAAAAATGTTCAGAAATTATTTTATCAATTGGTTAATAAGATTTTTGTTAAATTTCAGATCACGTCGAGGAAGCTTATCGGCGTCTGCATCAAACTCTTCAAATGACGGTATGTATATAATCATGTTGTCTACTAGTATTCGATAGGGTTATAAATCGTGTACACTCTTATAAATACATACATGATTTTAAAGTTTTCTGTAAAATGAACGCAGATACTCGCGTAAGTGTAAGTTTTTAAAGTAAGACGCAGTACTTTCGTGCAAAATATTTTTTTTTCTTCAGAAAAATGCAGTTTTTCAAGCAAAATTAAAAAAAAAAAATGAATTGAAAAACTAGCACTGGTGTTAGTTTTATAAATAGGCATTCAATAATATTTTCTTTTGCCGTCTCTATTTGTTTCATACATTATATGCATGGTCAGTTTACACATTATGAGAAATAAAGATATTCAAGTGGTGTGCTGCTGTTTTTATAGAAAACTATGAAACATATGGTACTTCTGCTTCTTTCACTACTGTTTTTGTGGTGTTCTAATTAATATAAATATCTCAACACACAAAGGAAAATATTTGATGTGAGGAATCGGAAAGGTTAGTTGTTTCTAATTTTTGTCTCATCGTTAAAAAGTTACTAATTGTACTTTACTTTTTATGTATAGGTCTTCGTATTATCAGAAGTCAATTATTACTCTAGTAATGGACTTCTGGTATTATTAATAAAATCATTTTGAACACTTAACTGTCAGGCTGATCTCCTGAGAATTCGCGTCTTATTAATTATTCAAGTTTTTCAGGATTGTCAGATGTCTACAGTAAACATTTTGATATACAAAGCTGAGAAAAAGGGGTTTCTTTCTTCCGTGATAATCCATATACACAAAGGCAAAACAATAATTCCATTCACAAAGACTTTTATTAAAGACGGCGATTTCAGTAGTTTTAATGATGACTATCCAATTATCAACCATAAAGCTATGATCTACTAAAGTCTTTTGTTGTATCTGTATTTGTCAACAATCAACACCTCGTTCGGCCAGGTTAAAAAGAAAATACAAATCGTCAAAGATAACATCTTAAAGCTAATCTTTTCAATCTTGTTTCAAATAGGCTCTACGACGAAAAATATAATAATGTTTACATAAGGAGATAATTAAAGTCTTATTTTTAAACCAAACAATGTCTCTCTTTGAACATTCGGTTTGACTAGTTTCTCGTTACATTTAATTTAAAAGAGAAATATGCGGACGTGTTCGAAGTCCTTTCTTTACTCGTGAAAGTTATACAACGGAAAATTTAAAGATACAGGGAAAACTCAAGATACAAAAAATGCATTTTTTGGCGGCACTTGTCTTTTTTCGTCATAATATGGTAAATACGCCGATTTAAAATTTCTTTTTCATTTTATATTCAGAGAGAGAGAGAGAGAGAGAGAGAGAGAGAGAGAGAGAGAGAGAGAGAGTATATACCATTATTTCAAATAAAATGAATCTGAATGTGTGGTCTGTTGTACTGTATAATATATATTATTTGTATTATTTCAAGAGGGCATTACTAGTTTATTCTAACATTTGCACACAGCCGTATGGTTTCAACAAGGAAAAAACGACTCTCTTTTTAAAAAGTGAAGAAAGCAAGAATGATAAACAGTAAAACTATAACAAATACAGTTTTTTTCTTATTTATCATACAAATTTAAATCCATGTTTTTCAGGCAGCAGCATATCCTCTATTAGCTCAATGCGTTCAGAGACTGAGGCAGAAAGTGTTAGTTTGTCAGGAACCTCAGATACAGATTCCATAATGCTCAGTGATCCGTATCGTCTGACAATCCACTGTCTCACAGACTCTCACGAGATTTATCCAATGATGGACATATATCAACCGGTTATTGATTGGATTGACCCAGATCTCCATGTGGTCAAAGTAGCGGAAATGACAGATACAAACGGAAACACTGAAAATCATTTAGATGTTTATACATCACATATACCAAGCATTTCTATAATGGTATTTTTACACGAAGAAGGAATGCTAGGTTGTGAACGTATTCAAGGTGCAAAACGACATTTTGAAAGGTCGCCTTGGAAATTTCATCATTCAGAACAAGTTGCGCGGGGAAGGGTTAACCCTTACCCATATAATAGTCAGGACTTTTATTATACATCAGAAGATCTACCTCTATGGGCTGTCAGACAAGTGCATTATGGGAAAGAACATATACGAATGGTTGTGTTCACTAGTGAAAATAATTGGAACGATATGGTGCGATTTTATAAATTAATAATTGGATCAGAACCAGATTTGCATCGAAACGATTTCTGTTTGTTCACAGTTCATACTCACATTCATTATGACATCCAATTTGCATTAAAGAAATTAGGAGGTGAAACTAAACCACGACCTCCATCTTGTGTGAAATTGCAGTTCCGAGTACCGGAAGTAGGACATATTGTGCCGTTGTTTCCAAATGTGTGTAAACCATTATCAGATACTCGATGGGAAACAATGGACCATGATGGAAACACAATTATATTAGAAGTGACTGGTTGTCCGACACCTGTGCTAGAAAAATCGTTGGACATTAACAGGAAACGTTCGGATAGCTCGGACAATTCCAGAAAATCCTCAAATTCAGATAAGTCTGACACGTCAGACAAAACAGTTCACTTATCGGGTTTTTATGTATGACAAAGCATATTTATCCTAAACAATTGCCAATAATTTCGTCACCTCAAAGAATCAAATTTTGTTTGCACCCATTTTCATCACTCTATGTCATTAAGTATTCCATCTGATCAAATTGTACCAAAGTCAAGAAAATAAGATACTGCATTTAAATTACCTACTTAACCCAAACTGCACAATAAATCACAAAAGATTCTAAAATACCCGAACTTCATTTCCCAATACAATTATTTATGTGAACTTTAATTAAACATATTGTTTTTTTAAACCACAACAGTCAGCTGATGAACAAACTATTGACACAGTATATTTATATTTTATAATGTACATTATCATTTGTTGCCATACAATATGCAAAGTACGAACAATCAATCAGTTGTATGCTTAGGAACTGAAATTACATCTCATTTAGTCTCTAAAACAGCAGATAAAATCAAATTTTCCCAGTTTAAAAAACATCACAAAGACTATCATATAATTGGCACCAACACCAAATTCTCTTATGGACAAAAACATTGTTTCCTGTCGATAGATAAATAAAAGGAGATGCGGATTAAATTGTCAATGAGACAAAACAGCTTCCTCGGCTCAATAAACATGGTATCTTTCTCGTGTTCGAAGAAAAATTATACTTCTTCGAAAATTCAGAAGAAAAGTTAAACATATGACGGCATAGTTAATTGAAGTTTTGTTTTCCACATAACTTGGAATGTTTCTTACTTTATTTCGGTACTTGTGGAAGTGTCAACATTGCAAATGTAACTATACTTTCTCAATTTCTTACTGAGCATGCATTTCTGCATACACATCAGTTACTATACATTAAGGTACTCTTGCATTCCAACTCATTTAATGTTATTAAGTTTTCTAGTATTGTTGTATACATGACTACAAAAAATGAAATGATATAGTATATATGCGAAAATATGATTCCAAAGTCAAAAGTGATTTTGAAAAATTATTTTATTGTAAAAACGATAGAATAACTCTAGGTTTCTAACCTATCATGAAGACGGTAATACAGGTTTATATATATTGCACGAAAATTATCATAGATATATCTTTGTCTAATATTCTTATAGACCTCATCCGTTTTGGATTGAGCAATTTAATTACTCATAATATGTTTGCATTTAATCAAATTTACTGCCAAGGACATATTCATCTTTGTTATATACTGAAGAACTGTAAAGAGCAACATGGAATTCGGAACTTGTAATACGTATACCATATTTTTAACTACTATTTGTTTTAATATTTGTGCCTGTCTGAAACGATCGGTCACATTCTTTTAGTCAAACCAATATGAAGACTTGTTCCAGTATATGAATAAGAAATTAAATTTTCGAAATGTTAAATGAAACGATTTGAAAAAAAAAATGTGAATAAAATCATTGAGAATACCTAAAATATCACAAACTTTTGAAAATTTTATTCATTTCCTTCACATTTGGAGTAGATTTAAGTTCTCATAATTCTGCTAAGTTGGTATTTATATGTAAATAGCGAATTGCTAGAGAACAGAAATGTCTAGAAACTTATGATAAAATGATCGACTTTTGAATGGCTGATAGTTGAACAAAATTTTCAAACATGAGAAAAAAGTATTAGAAAAGTTTTATTGTTATATGTATCACTATTGAAAAGTATATGACGTGTTGCATTGTTTTTAAGATTTTTCAATATACTTTTTGCATTGATGATTTATACATCAGTATACTATGTCAATTCGTGTGAAATTCTGTTCCCTTAAGACAGATGCAAAGAGCCTAAGATATTACCTGATTTTCAATTGTTCCAATATATTATTATTAGCTAAAGTATAAATACATTATGAATACATGAAAACACTGATTTTCTTTGAAAAGACAAATTTTTCGAACTTTTACCCCAGAAAGGCAGCATTCTAGTAAACGTTTCGTAGACTGTAAGCTTTCATTTAAAGCAAACTTGACTAATTTATTCCAAATCGGGATTAGAGAATACCATTGCATTTACTAGTGCTACGGAACTGTTTTGTAAGAATATAAAACGTTGTTACAACATTGTATTTATTATATAATGACAATTGTATTTATTATAAAGAATAAAATATATTTATAAAGTACGTGCAGTGTTTAACCTGGTATATCTTAAAATATGGAATATTGAAAAGCAGATAACGAGTATATACTGAAGTACACAACACGTAAATACAAAAAAAAAAAGAAATGAAGCCCTGTATGCATTTATATGAACTGTGTTTATAAACAAACAAAGCCCTTTATAGCTTGCTGTTTGGTGTGAGCCAAGGCTCCGTGTTGAAGGCCGTACTTTGACCTATAATTGTTTACTTTTTACACATAGTGACTTGGATGGATAGTTGTCTCATTGGCACACATACCACATCTTCTTATTTATATATAAAGGAATGCCAACCCCACATCAAGCATGCACCGTAAACCAAGTTCCATACTATGGAGTTGTGGTATAATTGCAAATGAGAGAACTGTCCATCAAAGACAGGATGTATACAACTATACGTGTCACCGTACGACAATGATCAACACTCATATAGGTATGCATGTTTTCTATTTTAAACGAAAGTTTAAAGTATGGTAACTAATGTCAGAACGGTTAATTCGAAACAATCTTACATAATTAATAGTACGATGTTATTGCACGATACGAACTGTCGTCTTTTTATACCGAGATATCATACACCATCAGTATGACAAAATCTTGACAAACTATATAATACCGTTTCGATGAAAGAACAACGTAATGTTATTGTCGCGTTACTTCAAGATTTTTCATCTTTTTTTTAGTGCACACAGTTTTGTTTTGAGATCTACGGTGATTACGACACTTCAAACCACACAGAAAACCAATCCAATCGTTACTATCTAAAGTTTTGTTTCTCTTTTGAAATGTTCAATTTTACCACCATATTAAACCCAAAAGGCATGAAATTTGATTTCAATATCCACAGTGTGAAAAGCAAAACCATCGAAAAAAGAAATCTAAAACCATGGAAGAGATATTTGATATATCATAAGAATTCAATACATGCATGACAAAAGATACTATGACTTGAATACCGTACCCGAATGTTTAACAAAATTAACCATCCTAGTTTAAAACAAAAGACAAAGATTGTATATACCGTATTTCATTATTTTCAACTAGAACCATTCAATTCTTTATTGATTAAGTTTTTAGAAACATTACTAGAAAGAAAGAAAGTAAGATGGACAGATAAGAATCAGAATAATCAAAAATCAACAATCAATGAAGTCTAGGTATATTTCTAAAGCGACAACGAAACCAAATCCGACACAATTTATCAAGATTCTTTTTTTTGACAAGTATACAATATGAAATACATATGAAATGGGCCTAATTGTAGTTATGTAGACTAAGGGTTCAAGTATAATAAAATATTAACCACAGAAATACATTTTATTCATTGTTCAAAAATAGGACTTATCCATGGAAATAGATTGCTAGTTGTCTTATCTATACATACAAAACTTATCAAGTAATCACAAAAACTTCATACACAGCGAACTAGAATCATTTTTATACAAATAACAAGACAAGAAAGTATTGGTACACTTCCTATTACCAGATAAACATCTTCTTCTGTTTTCATGTTTTTTTTTCTTTTATCGAATCTCATCGGCTTTCTAAGATTTTTCTCTTCGTGACAACATGGAAAAACGACATTAAGGTCTAACCATACGTTCATGTTTTGGTTTCTAAAGAAGGCTTTGTCAATAGTTGATCATAGATTTGAAACTGTGTTTATTTAATATGTTGCTGAAATCTATGTAATTCTCTCTCGTAAAGGGTTGAAGTAGATATCTCGTTTGCTACGGAATGCAGATGTAAAGCATATTTAAAAGCGTTATGACTGTTCTCTTTGTATATTGAGAAAACAATCGTACTTTTTGTTACTTATATGGACTATTAAGAAGCGAAAAAAAGACCCAAAAGTCAAAGATATCAGCCATAAATATGTTGAAAATAAAATAAGTAAACATTTAAATCAAATGAATTTATTCTAAATTCACTGTTGTAAATATTATCTATGTCGTAAATCCTACATTGTAATTTAAAATATGCACTTAAGTCAACAACCAATTTTACGATAAAAGGCTTGAAAATTTGTGTATTAAGTATACCCATAACTATTATGGTTCTTTAGAGAGCGGCACTTACGGTTGTTGCTATGTATGTTTTCCAGAAGGAAAATCATACATGTACACTGGTTTTAAGTTTAAGACCTTTACAATGCAGTCTTTTTAAATCTGTACTTTACCATAATGTTGTATAAATCATACGTGTATTCTTAAAAGCCAACATATTTGCTTAAATGCCCTCTCTCGCAGTTTATTAATACTAATATTATGTAATAAAAACAGTAAAGGCAGATATTGCTTCACGTATTTGAACGTGTAAGCCCAAATGTTAAGATACACACTGATGTGAATAACGAGTACACCGAAGCAGAAAGGCTCAAAAGTTGAGAACTTTTATGCACAACAAATCCTTTGAGTTTCGGGGATTTATATTCCAACAGAAAGTCGACGTTTCAATGAACTATAATTTGGCTCCACTACTATACCTTACATCTTCTTGTACTTGATGAAGCAATCTGAAAACTTTATAAAGACAAAAGAAAGAAAAACGTCTTGAAAAGTCTTCTTATTTAACTTTCAGTTGTATTGATAATATACGTTGATTCAATAAAATTTATACAGTAACAGTGGATACATTAGGGTCTATGACAAACGTAATGATATTAGTTTTCCTTTTGATAACTTCTCATTCTTCAGTAGCAACACGTTTTCTGCTCCAGCTTATAAACATAGCGTTTATAAAACAATATGCCAAAACATGTTCTCATAATGTCGTTTCACGAACAGAAGGAATACTCTAGATTAAAAACTGCTTAAGCAAGGCTGGGAACAGTATATCTAACTGTCAATATATATGTTCCTAAGCAAGGTCACGAGAAGACCAACTCAACTCGGATACAGATCGGAATTTGATATTCGTTACAGTGTTTCATTTTCTTTACTTGACAGCGGATATTTTCTATTGTCACAATCCCAGTCCACTTCCGCCCTTTAGACATTTTAACCAGGTGTTGACATTTTCTGGACTTTGCCACCTATAACACGACGGTTGATGCATACACAGCAAGACATGCGCCACCTGTCGAGACACCTGTATTATTCTGTTTTCACTCCAGTGTTTGTCAGTTTATATTTAACTGGATATTTACAGGAATATGAAGTCTACCTTCATAATCTACTAGACATAAATGCTCAAAATACTGAACTGGGTATTTTTAATGTTACGAATATTCTTAATATAAACATTTGACTGTATACAAGTCAATAATCTGTGTTAAAACTAATCGTCCTTGAATTGAACAAACATTAAAGTAGAATGTGTTTTTGCCTTTAAAAACTTTTTTCGGTATTATGTTCTAACTTTTCTTTGTTCAGCGTTCAGAAAACATTACATAATCAGCCATTTACACTCCCGATATATTTACATATTTGAATTCAAAACCGAAGTATTATTAACAACTATATAGTTACTTCCAAAGCGTGTCTGTAAATGGCATCATCCCTGTTGTACCTGGTTAGTTTACGTTTTATAATGGGTTCATTGATAATAGTTAATCGACGGTCGGATGATGAAATGTTCTCTGTCTATACAACACTCAGGGGTGAGTGGGGAGGGGGAGGGGGAGTACGAATTGCAGAGTACACCGGGTATATATTTAGGTCCTAGTATCTGCATTTGAGGGGTTCGACTCCAAGGGGCTTGCTCGTCTATGCGGGATGTACAAATACACAGGCACGTCCAGTCGGGATGGGAGCGTTTATTCTGATACTTTGCGTTGTGGAGAAATACCACGCCCCCTGTACGTACAAAAACCATGCAACATTTTTTTGAGCTGTCCTATTAGATCTATCGTAAATTTGTTCTCCTCTCGAATATGCATGAGATGTTTGTTCATTCCTTAGATATGTAGTAAGTTTATGTTCCTTGCTATTTTATTTTCCTAACGTTGCTTTTTGTTGTCTTTAACATGAACGTTATTCCCGAAAACAAGAACTTTTATTTGCATTTCCGCATTATTTGAAAGAAACTGAAAATGAATGAACATAACACATTATAATTGTCTTGCGTTTGAAGCCCTTTTCTGTGGATATCTTCACCAGCAAAACGCTGAAACCCAAACGTTTGAAAGCCAAGGATGCATAAATGCCTGAAAACACGAGGCGCTAAATACTCGAAATAGACCTAAATGTAGCCAAGATCATCTAAAATTAAATTTGCCCCAGGAAGTTGGAACATTACTTTCTTAGTAATTTCTCAACTTATCAACGGATAATTTAGAAAAGTATGGTGAAAATCATGTCAGGATCAATGAACCGACTACTGAGCTGCTATATGAACTAATTCATGTTATATTTATGGTTCAATGTGTGAATTCAGACAACTATTGGGATTTTGATTTTTATACTGTCAGTACTAGAAACATATGGAATTAATTTCAATATCCCTATTTATGTAGCAACTTTCCAGCCCCGCTTGCTTATATATTGAGCTTATCTCACTATGGATACAACATACTACGACTGACTTTTCCTATCATTGTTTCCTTGACAGATAATTACTGCTTTCAAGGAAAATATAAAAAGATTCAATTAACTCTTAAGAGTTTCAGTTTTCAGGAAAATGTAAAGTATTTTGTGTATAATTTTGAATATCTTGGTCTGCGAAAGATTTTATTTGTACATTTCGAACATAATATTCTTTAATTACGTACAAGACGTTTTTTTACCTAACACGTTATACTATCAGGGACTATCTGAAGTTCTAATTTTACAGTAAATTTCAATCTTTAATTGATGAATTTGTCTTCTTGACCTCCTTTTGTAAATTTTTCAAGCATATTAAAGAATATTGATATTTGTCTCAGATAAATTTACAAAATTGCACCAAACAACCATAATTATCTGAATATTTTTGGGGGTATTTCAAATTTTAGTAAATGATCGTTTAGAGATTGGTTTAATTATAAACATTGACTCTCCATGA